CTTTCAGTCCACTGTTACAAACAATGATCCCATGTAATAATGCATTCAGTAATCAGTGTTTATAACAGTGGACTGAAAGCATTATTACATGGGATCAGTGTTTATAACAGTGGACTGAAAGCATTATTACATGGGATCAGTGTTTATAACAGTGCACTGAAAGCATTATTACATGGGATCAGTGTTTATAACAGTGCTCATGTAATAATGCTTTCAGTTCACTGTTATAAACACTGATCTCATGTAATAATGCTTTCAGTTCACTGTTATAAACAATGATCTCATGTAATAATGCTTTCAGTGCACTGTTATAAACAATGATCTCATGTAATAATGCTTTCAGTGCACTGTTATAAACACTGATCTCATGTAATAATGCTTTTAGTGCACTGTTATAAACAATGATCCCATGTAATAATGCTTTCAATGCACTGTTATAAACACTGATCTCATGTAATAATGCTTTCAGTACACTGTTATAAACACTGATCCCATGTAATAATGTTATAAACACTGATCTCATGTAATAATGCTTTCAGTACACTGTTATAAACACTGATCTCATGTAATAATGCTTTCAGTACACTGTTATAAACACTGATCCCATGTAATAATGCTTTCAGTGCACTGTTATAAACACTGATCCCATGTAATAATGTTTTCAGTCCACTGTTATAAACACTGATCCCATGTAATAATGTTTTCAGTACACCGCTAGAACAATGACTGGGCAAAAAGCCCCCTTACTCGATGACATAATAAGTTTGTAGCTGTGACTGTAACGTCCTCAAACGATGTTTTTGAAATTGTCCAGAAAAAATAGTTCCCTATTGGATCAGCTATAAGTTTACAGACTTACAATACCAAAATTCGGGGTTCAATTCCATGTGAAGGCCAGAGAGCAGCTGGCCCTTTGTGGAGCTTTGTACTAAAATCAACAGCTACAAACAGAAAAAAATACGAATATGCGTGTGTGTAATTGGATATCCATTTAGTTTTATACACCAAAATGAAAACAGGCCACAAAAAGATATATCACCTTTGAAGACAATTATTTGGAGAAGGATCTTTTCAGACAAGTTTAGGTGAGACGTTATACTTCAGCTTGAAAGTAAACCGAAGAAACACCAGCATAAATATATTATTTACACCGCATAACATTTGTACTCATTATGCTTTGGTGGAAATAATAGATACATATATAATTACTGAAATAGAGCAATATACTAGTAATATGTCGTCTAAATCATGAACTGGCCTTAACCCTAACCATAATGTTGCCGAGTCATCGCGCATAATGAGTATGTTTATATTTTTTAACCACTTTTAAATGGGTTAGAAGAAATGGAACATTACCTGTTTAGAAATTTACATAATAGTTCGAAAAATTTCACACCTTTCAAAGTAGTTAATGAAAATGATAATATCAATCCCCCCCGCCCCTCGGATGAACACGCTCGTGATTTAAATTTAAAGGTGCACATGAGTTTCTTTTTTTAATACTTTACTCGCTTAGAATATACAAACAGAAACGTTAACATTTAATTGGAGGACTACACGAACCGAGAGCTTGAACCAAAAAAGAATCTAAACATTTCCTTTTTTTTTTTTATTAAAGAACTGTATTTCAACAACTAAGACTAAAGCCATAATCGTGGTTACAAGAAGCAAGAAACTTTATGGCTCATTTTGAGGGACCTCAGTCTCAGACGGATCGTCGGTT